GCTTACCTTACCCTCATTTATATTTCTAATGCATAAAGAAGGTAAAGACAGCTAGTTATTCAGTAGATAGGCGTACACCGATCAGTTACAGGGCACATCCGCCCTGGTTTTTGATGTCCTTGTGTGTTCCAGATCCCATGAACGTTGCCACATGGCGAATTGTAATGTTTCAGTAAAATTTTATTATTTAAGAACATTTTACCATGAAGACAGGGGCTTCTAGGAAGGCCTTTTCTGGCTTATAAGCCGCCGCCAGCTGGAAATACCCAACTCCAGTGTAGCAGAGGAAATTGCCGCCACACTCAAGTGCTTAGTGGTTAGGGCATTGGTCTCTAACAAACAGGGTCGCGGGTTCGAAACTAGAGTGGGTGGCAATTTCCGCTGCTACACTGCAGTTGGGTATCTCCAGCTGTCGACGGCTAATAAGCCAGAAAAGGCCTTCCTGGAAGTCCCTGTCTTGACGGTAAAATGTCCTAAAACAGCTAGTTCTTTTGATAGAAACCGACAGGTGAGTTTCAGGAGGCAGGTCAGAAGAGGATGCGTTCGCTGGAACGGGACATTTATTGGCCTGACGTTTCGGGGTCTCTCTTTCGAACACATCACCGGAGACAATTTTCGCCCATTGCGCTTTTCGGCAACTGCCTCTGATGATGGGAATCCCGAAGGGTAAGACCAGTAAACGCCCTTTTCTTTTGGGTCAGTCCGCCATTGAATACGCATGATTTTTGAACCTCCAAACTGTTTTTTGCTCATCAGATCTAACATTCGATCTCCCGACATCGAAATCACGAACTAGACCACTCGGCTACTGGTATCTATGTTCGCATTATGTGTGACGGGCAAAGATGCAGTAAGGCTGATTGTAACCGTGAGGCAACAGTCTGCAGGTGCTTTCCTTTTACCCAGACTCCTCCACCACCACTGCTGTTTCGTCTACGAAGCCATGCGGCGACAAGTTGGGAATGAACGCAAAATAAATGACCTTTGTAAAGCGTACTTTTGAGCGCCGATTTGGACACCTGGCAGAGGGCCGAGATGCTGTAAGGCCGCACCTTCGGAGAGTTGACAATGCAGTGACGGAGTGGCGCCTCGAAAATAGTGGGCAAAATTGACATATAATAAAAAACTACTTTTAAATGTTCGGTAGCCTGACTTGAAATTTTTTCGTTAAATTCTACCAATAGGAGGACAAATTTCCATTTTTGTTTAATTCCGCCAACATTAAGTCGAATTTCCCTCGATTATCATTCGTATCCTGCGCAACAGAAGTTTATGTTGATCGAATTTTATTCCATTTAGCATATTAAAACAAACGTAATCTTATTTGATTCAATATTTTTTATCACTTCAGCCGCAATTACATATTAATTTACGCTAACTAGCCAAAAATTAAATGTTTGACCACAAACTACGTTAAGTAGTTGGGCACGGAGATAGATATTTAGAGGGGCCCTAAAAATCAATCTTGCTATAGAGTGCAACCAGAAAATGTGAACGGCGGTAACAACAAGGCATAGTACTAGTAGGGAATAACAGACGCAGCATAATCCAAGACAATCTGAGGAGACAAATACGCGCTGGAACATGGAGAATCTACTTATACAGAGCGTATTTCATCCACTAACACACGCAAGCACTCCGTGATAGAACCACG